TTAAGTCTTCCAGGAGCTGCAAACTCACGCTCCCAATTCAGAAGCTTTTTCTTTCATCCTTGTTGCAGTATAATGCTCTAAATGGAGACCCATTAGAGCTGATTGACATCTGATTATAAATGTAGTGAGAGATGAGGACTTTAACTTTTTCTTCTTATAAAAGGCAGCCGGAGAGTTTCCCTCTGAAGCAAAGGGGGCAAAAATCCAGGTTCTTCCTTTAGAACTCCCTTTTTGATGTGTACGTCTGCATCTACCATCCTTGGCTTAATGCGTAGGTAGGGGTTTTTTGCAAATCCATTCGAGTGAGCCCTTGAAATGTCATCAAGGGTGAAGTTTGCTGGAACCAGAGGGTTTTTCCTATCCAAACAAGCTTTCAGGAGTAAACCTTGGCACCTTCAGCACGTGAGGATGAGCACCCCTGTGGTGTGTGTGCAGTGGGCGCAGTGCAGCGCTGCGCCTCGGCCACGTGCTGCTGCCACTGGAAGAGCTCCTGGCGCTGCTGCCTGGAGGACGAGCGCGGGGCGGCTCTGCAGCTGCCTCCTGGGCTGCGGTTTTTTAAGTGTGGGGAGCCAGCTGAGCTCCCTCAGCCTTCAGGAAACCAGCACAGGCCCAGATAAATACATAGGAGTCGGCCTTACCGCGCTGCCTCGTGGGGTTGGCGGGACCAGGCGGGTGTCAGGGCTTGCCCGAGGAGGGACAAAGCCACGTGGCAGGGAGAGACTGCTCCTTCCAGCCTGTTCTAAGGATTCTCTCCTTCCACGTGCTCCAAGGGAAGGAGACGGCCTGAGTCTGGGGTGGAAGGTGGGGTGTCCACCCGCTGCGCTGCCCTGCTGCTCCTGCTGCCTGCGCAGGGGACAGGAGTCTTGCAGGGCCTTTGAAGGATGGGTTCATTGCAGCTCTGTCTTCTGCAAATGCTTCCTGCACCCAAAACACCACCAGGGTTTTTAGACTGACTCTGCGGGGAGGCCAGGACCCTCCTCAGCTCCTGCTGACGCTGCATCGCACGGCACAGCAGGCGCTGCTGCCTGCGGCCACGCGGGAGGTTCTGGCACCAGTAAAAACTTGTTTGTGTTTAAAAGACCCAATGATGATGATAGCGCCCAAAGCGCAGCTGTTAAAAGCAGATGAAAAGACTGTTTTTGGCTACCAGGGGCTTTGCACAGGGCTCGGAGCTGGTGCTATTCCGGGCACTCCTCCTTTGCCCATTAGCTCCGTGCTGCGGCCTCGTCTCCGCTTGGGCGCTGATGTCTCCGGGATGGGGACGGCTGGGCTGTGTTTGAAACGCACCGAGCAAAGACCCGCTGCTGGGTGCGTTTCCCAGGGCTGTTCAATGAAGAACTGCAATGAACCTGGCTCATTTTACAAACAAATTCTGCTTTGGCTGCATGGACTGATTGTGTCATAGAACTGGTTCAAGCAAAACGGGGTTGCCTAGAGCTCGGTTTATACCCGCTGAAGGGTGACACAGAACCCAGGCTGCACATTCCTCACACCAGGGAAAACCCAGTTTCTTACAAATCCTTTTCCTAGATACACACGTGTCTTTCATCTGATCAGACCCAGCTCTGCGAGGGCGCTCTGCACGATGCAGTGGTGCCTTATCTTGGAGGCTTGGTAAAGCTGCCGTCCGCAGGAAAATCCAGGAATGCGATGCATGCTCTGGCGTTACTGCTGCTTTACCCAGTTTTCCAGACTGGAGCGTTTTGCTTGCTTCATGCAACCAGTATTTGCTACTTAAATGATGAATCAGGAATATTTCCCACATTCGATGTCTGCCCCATTACTTTGTCTCAGGCAGTGAGGGTAATCAGATAGCAGCAAATGTGTCCAGTGGAGTAGAACAACCTATGTTTTTTCTTCTTTTGGTCCTACTCTTAATTTTTCTTTCCTTCACCTCCATGAAATATTGAACAAATCAAAAAAATTACAATCTTTATGCCGAATACCCTGCCCTTGTGCCCCCAGTAGCGCCTCGCCAGGAACACGAGGGGAGTGGATTTGTCTTGGGTTGAGACAGACCCTTCCTTTGCGGATCTCCGTGGGGTTTTAGAACCAGAGTGGAGTGGATTTGTTCTGCCTGTAGCCTGTCCCTTTCTGCCCGTGTTGGGGGTGGAAAAGGGAACACTTGGAGGAAAGCAGCCACCGGGAACAGCCCTGGCTCCCCCCAGGTGGGAATTGTGCCTCTTCCCTGCAAACGGGGGCTGCTCTCCTCAGTGCGGAGGGGGATCCCAAAGGTCGGAAGGAGCCCCCGAAGGCTCGCGAGGAGCAAAACCCCGTGTATTTTAAGCGACGCGAGGGGAGGAGGGGGGCTCTGGGCAAAGGGGGGCGCCTGCCCTGCCGCTCTGCAGCCTCGCGCCCGAGGACAGCGTGGGCGGCCCCAAACCCTCACGTCCCGTCTGCCGCAGTGAAAACAAGATACGTTCAGAACCGTACACCAGAAAAAGCAAACCTCCTCTTCCTGCTTTCTGCTTATAAGATTTACAGGTACTTAAAATAAACCCATGAAAAACAGACCCAGTGTGCTGGAATGTGCTAACTAGTCGGAGCAATTACCTCCAGCTTCCCCGGCCCAGCTGAGCTCTGCTCTTGGAAGGGGCCTTGGCAAACTCCCCTTCCCGGGGCTCGTCGAAGGGTGCGGAGAACCCTGCCGACCTCGGCACTGCCGAGAGGGACCCGGCCAGGCCCTCGCTCCTTCCTGTCCGTCTATCGTATGAGGAAGGACTGAGCGAGCGGGGCCTAGAGAAGCCTGAGAGGGGATCTCATCAACATGTGCAAGGACCTGAGCGGAGAATGTAAGGAGGATGGGGCCAGGCTCTTCTCCGTGGTGGCAGTGACAGGACAAGGGGTAATGGCTACAAGTTGAAACCCAGGCAGTTCCATCTCCATGTGAGGAAGA